GTCCAGCTGCGCCACTCCTTGGAAGCTGGCGGTCAGCATGACCACGCCTGAAGAGATCTCCTGCGCCTTCAGCCCCGTGCTCTTGCAAGGGCTTAGCGCCGCCTGGAAACAGTCGCGCCTGCGCCAGCCTTGCGCCGCCGAGGCCGCCTCCTCGGACAGGAACTTGGTCTCCTGCACGAGGAGGAGGTAGTTCTGGGCCCCTTCGTCGCGCAAGTGCTCGATGGCCGTCCTCGTCTGGGCCCAGGAGGAGCCACTCATGGACGCGATGCTCGCCGCCCTAAGCTCGCGGGGGACCAGCCCGGCCAGCTCCAGCAACCTCGCTCCAGACGACGGGACAGCCCCTCCTGGGCTAAAGGTGCCGCTGGGCTCCTCCGACAGCGCCAGCAGCGCTGCTGGGCACCGTCACCAGCGGGCCAACATCAGCCGCCGCCTCCACCAGGTCCTGCACCGCGCATGGGTGCACCCGCGTTCATGGGCCCGCCGCAAGCGGCCGCCTCTCGGCCTGCCCGCGGTCTGCGGCTGGGTGGGCGGGCGGCTCCACTCCGATGTCCGCGCCGGAATCGAGGTCACCGCCGTCCTCGGTGCAGAGTCGCCCCACCTCTTCCGAAGCCGTTCCGTGGCTTCGGGCTCCTGCAGGGCAAGCATCTCTTCCACCGCATGCATCTGCTGCATGGTGAGCTCCCAGGCCCTGGCGAAGTTGCCCGCCACGTGCGCCGTCGGGAGCGTGCGGCGCAGCTGGAGGAAGAGCCCCCGCATGGCCCCCAAGTCGCCCCCGGAAACCCGCAGCCGTTCGTGACTCGCTTTCGCCTTCGCAGCCTCCACCTCCATTGACGTGAGGCGGTCCTGCGCTTCCCGCTGGCGCAACTCGGCTTCCTCCAGCCTGTCATGCGCCGCCCGCAGGGCCGTCTCCACCGCGGGCATCTCCGAGGTGGCCGTGTCGACACGGCCACCTCGGAGATGCCTCCTCGCCCCCGCCGCCTTGCGCTCAGCCTTGCCAGCCGTGCTGGCTGCCCGTCGCAGCCTGGCCGCTGGAGACAGGCCCGCCTCCTTGTCCGAAGCCAACAGCGTAGCTGCTTCTTCCTTCCGGGCAACCGCTCCGCAACGAACTCGTCGCCTCCCACTCCCAGGCTGTGGAAGGCCTCCAAGTGCTCAATGGCCCGCTGAAGTTCCTCCACGTGGGATGGTTTCGCTGCGGTTGGCGCGGCCTTGCGGCCGCCTCCACTTCCAGGTGCCTCAGTGCAGGCGGCAGCGGCAGCAGCAGCTGCGGTGCGCGCCCTGCTTCGGCCTCGCTTGCCAAAGCCAGCCTGGACAAAGCCCTCGGAGTCGGACTCAGATTTGCTGGCCGCGCGCCCGACCCTCGGCGCAGAGCCCCTCGCGCTCGAAACGCCGCGGACAAATCGCGGTCGTTGGGCGCTCAATGGCCTTGAGCCAAAATGGCTACGGACGGTGGGAGCACTGGAGAAGGAAACCTTCTATCAGGTATCCAGGGTCTGGAAATCAGCGGAACTCCAATCACCACCGCCCTCATCAGGTAAGGAACCCTCCAGGGTCTGAAGCCTCCCGGGCACGTTCCTTAACGAACGCCCCCCGTACTACGTCGCTGTGGCATACTACTGCTCGGTGCAGGAAAGACAGACGCCCACCCTGGAGTGACCATGTTGGCATGATCAGGCCTACAACAATGTTGAATGTGCGGAGCGCGGTGGCACAATGCTACCACGGGTCTTAACAGACCGTGATGAAACAAGAGATAACCAACGAACAACCGAGGATACGGCGAGGAAGGGCACTGATCAACGGGAGGAAGTGGGGATCCCAAGCGTCGATAAAACGCTCTGGCACAAAACCATTCACTGATCCGGCACGACTGCAAAACGAAATCCACGGGTGAACCCTGACCATTGCTGCCCTGCCTCAATTTCAACACCCGGAACAATACATTGGCACCAACTCTGGTGGCAGCAATATCGATACTCGAGGCTGCGCCCGGTAGCCCCGGCGCAGGCTGATTTGCTAGCGCAGCCGCCTGCCACCCGCCAGTTCAATTCGGTACCGCGTCATGTCGGCATGGTGGGGCATGGCACAAATCAGGTGCTGTATGGCAGGTTTCCTGGGAAGTTAGACGCAATTCAACCCACCCGTCTCGTAGCATACGACCGCGTGCACCACAACATTTCCCGAGGCTGCGTGGGCGGACCGACGCTTCACTGGCGGGCTTTCAAGAATCGAAAGTCGCGTGATGGTTTCCATGGGACTGTTAGACAGCTTCCAAGGTGCCCACGAGGCTTCGAAGACGCCTGAAAATGACCCCATCAAATGCAGAAACATTCCAAAGAAGGGCCCATAAAAAAGGAACACACACAATCCATACGAAACAAATGGCAATACCAATGGACCCACCCTAAACGAATGATGAATTGACAGAGCACGCGATGCCGTGTGAAATCTACGTACGAAACCAACGCGTTGCGCGCTCGCTGGGGCTGAAACATCGCCGACGAATGAAAAACATGTAGCGCCCCGCAAGTGCGGATAAGAGTGAAAGGGCGGGCGCGGGGTGGGTCGCGGGTGGGCCGCGGGCGTGTCGCGGGAGGGTCGCAGGTGGATCACGGGTGGGTCGCGGGCGTGAAGCCAGTGGGTCGCAGCTGTCGCGGGTGGGTCGCAGTTGGATCGCGGGCGGGGCGGGCGGGGCGCGGGTGGGTCGCGGGCCGGGACGCGAGAGGGACGACGAAAACAAACCGCACCGCAGAACCCTACTTCAGCCAAGCACCCAGGGACAGTGAATGGCCGCTCGGCCGCCTCACTCTGACGAGGTGGAGATTGTTGGACGACGACGACGACGACGACGACGACGACGACGACGACGACCAAGAGAAAGCAGGAGAGTAAAAAATAATTAAGGGAAATATGAAATCAGAGACGACGAGCGCGAGGACTGCGGACGGCATTGAGGGCGACGGGGAGGGGGGTGCAATGATGACAATGGGTTTCCTGACATCTCGGCCTTGCAGGAACGCTCCCCGTGGAGACTCACGGCTGGTTGCCTGACCTCTTCTTCACCCTGCTCCGCACGGGCGCACCCCAATGCGCGACGTGAGGACCGCCCACGGCGCCCGGGCTGGAACGCCCGTGCGGGTTTCGCGAACCATGGGCAGGTTATCGGAGGCCGTGGTTTTGGACAACATGACGCACAAGCGCCGCCAGGGGCTGTCCATGTCACCGGCGTCCTTGTAGCCCGTGTCGAGGGTGGCCCCTTCGGGCATGGTCGGAGCCGCCTGGCAGGATCCAAGGAGGCGAAGTCTCACCTGGACCTCGTCAGGCCGCACTCCGCCGAACCCCCGGAGGAGGCTCGAGAAAGTGGCGACGGCTGCGCAGTTGGCTGCGCACAGAGAGGCGAGGTCTGGTTTGGATCTGGGTGTGGCCGCACTCCGCTGGGCCTCCCAGGAGCCCACGAAGGTGGCGACGGTTGCGCACTTGGCAGCACCCAGGGAGGCGAGATCTCACTCGGATCTGGGTATGGCCGCACTCCGCTGGCCTGCCAGGAGCTCAAGGAAACCAAAACGGCTGCGCAGTTGGGAACACCCAAGGAGGCGAAGTTTCATGTGGATCTAGCTACGTAAGCCGCACTCCGCAGAACCCCCACAGGAGGCGGCGACGGTTGCGCACATGACAGCACCCAGGGAGGCAAAGTCTCATCTGGATCATGGCAAGACTGCGCCCCGTTGGACCTCCAAGGAGGGCACGAAAGTGGCGACGCTTGCGCATTTGGCAACGCCCAAGACCTCCTAGGAGCTCATGAGAGCAACGGGAGTGACGTAGTTAGCAGAAGATGGCAGCATATAGGGAGGATCCTCGACTGCGCCAGAGCTCCCCAAGACGAACCAAGGACCCCCTCCCCCCCCACCCCAAGACGCTCCCAACAGGGCCCCCATGGGTCACATAGGCCTCACCACAGGCACCCAAGCAGCCCGCAAGACACCCCACGAGTGCCCCAGACCCCCGACGAGCCACTGCAAGCGACAATCCGCCCCTCAGCCTCTCCCCGGTCTGCCCGTGTTCCAGCATGCTACTGCCGGATTGCTCTCTGGTGGGGACGCGAACTGTCACACGGTACCATGTCATGTGGTATAGCCCACTTGGTTTCAGGGAAGAGAGACGCACAAACTGCTGCGCTTACACCTGGCATGGTCGCATAACGTGCCGCAGGCGCCTGGATACGCGGGTCTCTTGCCTACGCCACTCCCAACATGCCCAGGCCCAGGCCGTGCACTTGCTGGTGAAAGGATTGACGGGAGGTCGCTAGACATTGTTTTCGTAGCAACGTCCTTCGGAACGTCACTTCTCGCCTCGAAAGCGTCGCGAAGGTTCCCAGAACACCGAGAGCATCCGGCGTCAGAGCTCTGGGATCGCTCCAAGTCGAGACTGAACGGCTCCTCAGCTCGCTTTCCACACGGTCACGGAGTGAGCCCTGACACCCTGAAAGCCCCTGTGCGCTCCTTGCCCATCCAATCCGCCGACTGTCACGCGCTGGCGACAGCTCCAGAAAAGTGGTGGACAGAGCGAGGGGGAGGGGGAAGAAGGAGCAAGATTGGAGAACAGCGAGTGGGCCGCGCTCCAATGTTCGAAGACGAAATCGACGACCCTGGCCTGGACCTCTTGTCAATATGGACCGTCCAACGAAACACGGCAACACACTAAACAAAATTGATAAAGGACTGTGAATCGACTTAAGAATGACCGTTAAGGAGACCGCCATCCATCGTGCAGCTCAATTCCGCAGACATGCGCATAATGCTACCTGTCATGTGATGTAGATTGTGCTACGGTCTTCGGTGCAGGCCCCAAGTCAAGCGCCCAGCTCTTTCGAGGTGTTCCTCCTGCACACGGCATGGCCGGTGCCCATATGTGAGAGGTGCTGGATGCGATAGTCACACAACAGGGGGAGGAGGTCATCCACCTGGTCTGTTCTCTCCTCTCGCTTTGACAACACAATGCCAGTCCTTGCAGTAAGCGGCTAGGCACTTGGAGATGCCCACGCAGGAGCAGTTGAACTCGCCCACGATCCACTTCTCCTGCTCCGCCGGAGTGCCCTCTTCGGACGCCAGGATGAAATCCGTGGTCCACCACAGCGGGATCGGCTCGTCGGCGAGCCCGAGGGCTGGCATCACTTGCGGGAGGTCCTTCTTCAAGAAATTCTCCGTCAAGGTCGTGAACTTCGGCTCCTCGGGCCCGTAGAACGTGTATATCGAGCCGGTTCCGCCCACAGCCGAGATGCCGCCCTCCTTCGGCTTCTTGTGGATGATTCCGACCAGCACGTCCACCACCATGTTGTAGCGCAGCTCGCCCTCCACGATCCGCGGGCAGAACCGCTGATCGACCAGCTGCCCGCCCGCCTCCTTCCCACCCTCGAGGTACTTGCCCACTCCCTTGCTCGCCCACTCCCCGGACTTCTCCGTGCGGCCGTTCACGCAGAACTCGATGAACTCACCCACCGTGTGCTCCTCCGCGTGGTTGTCGTTGGCCTCCATCATTTCGAGCACCTCGTCGTCGGCGCAAGAGCGCTCCCCGTATGTGCTGCAGTAGCTGCCCGACTTCAGCTTGATGATCCAGATGCCCTCGCCCGAGGAACCACGGTTCTGCTTGATCACGCGGGGCTGGAAGGCCATCGTCTTCTTGAAGCCCTCGGCAAACGACTCCTCGCTGTAGTACGCCAGGGTGTCCTCCAGGCCGATGTTCATAGTCGCCACCTTGCACAGCGCGTCCTTCGCACCCATGAACTCCATCACGTCCGGCGACGGCCACACCTGCTTGCCCAGCTTGCGCAGCTCGCGCATGCCGTTGTCGTACTTTGCCTGGTCGCCGCCGTCCGCCTTGATCTGGCCCGGGTTGCAGCGCACGATGATGGCGTCGAAATTCTTGGCAACCTCGAAGAACTTGTCGTGCTCGTCGTGGACGTAGTGGATCAGCTGGCAGCTCATGCCAGAATTGATCATGCCGTTGGCAAAGGGGATCGAGTCGTAGCGGTGCCCGTTGGAGCTCTTGTCCGAGCCGCCATACGGGGCGGAGCGCACGTAGATCTCGGCCAGCGCCATCTTGAACTTTGGCTCGGCGGGCTGCGGCAGAAGGCCGAGGTCGTCCTTCGCGATGCGCGTCAGGCACGAGATGTCCACTGGGCCCGAGGAGGAGAAGGCCGCCGGGGCCTCTGTGGCGGCTGCAGGGGCCTCCGCCGGGGCCTCCGCCGGGGCAGCCGCGGGAGCCTCCGCCGGGGCCTCCGCCGGGGCGGCAGCCTCTGCAGGGGCCTCCGCAGGAGCTGCCGGGGCGGGCGGCCCACCCAGGAGGCCGAGAGCCTTCACTCCCATCAGGTCTCCCATGCTAGTCGCCTCCGCCAAGTCCTCGGCTGCGATGTCGGTGAAGCAAGCGTTCGGCGTGTCGTCCTTGCAGTAAGCGGCTAGGCACTTGGAGATGCCCACGCAGGAGCAGTTGAACTCGCCCACGATCCACTTCTCCTGCTCCGCCGGAGTGCCCTCTTCGGACGCCAGGATGAAATCCGTGGTCCACCACAGCGGGATCGGCTCGTCGGCGAGCCCGAGGGCTGGCATCACTTGCGGGAGGTCCTTCTTCAAGAAATTCTCCGTCAAGGTCGTGAACTTCGGCTCCTCGGGCCCGTAGAACGTGTATATCGAGCCAGTTCCGCCCACAGCCGAGATGCCGCCCTCCTTCGGCTTCTTGTGGATGATTCCGACCAGCACGTCCACCACCATGTTGTAGCGCAGCTCGCCCTCCACGATCCGCGGGCAGAACCGCTGATCGACCAGCTGCCCGCCCGCCTCCTTCCCACCCTCGAGGTACTTGCCCACTCCCTTGCTCGCCCACTCCCCGGACTTCTCCGTGCGGCCGTTCACGCAGAACTCGATGAACTCACCCACCGTGTGCTCCTCCGCGTGGTTGTCGTTGGCCTCCATCATTTCGAGCACCTCGTCGTCGGCGCAAGAGCGCTCCCCGTATGTGCTGCAGTAGCTGCCCGACTTCAGCTTGATGATCCAGATGCCCTCGCCCGAGGAACCACGGTTCTGCTTGATCACGCGGGGCTGGAAGGCCATCGTCTTCTTGAAGCCCTCGGCAAACGACTCCTCGCTGTAGTACGCCAGGGTGTCCTCCAGGCCGATGTTCATAGTCGCCACCTTGCACAGCGCGTCCTTCGCACCCATGAACTCCATCACGTCCGGCGACGGCCACACCTGCTTGCCCAGCTTGCGCAGCTCGCGCATGCCGTTGTCGTACTTTGCCTGGTCGCCGCCGTCCGCCTTGATCTGGCCCGGGTTGCAGCGCACGATGATGGCGTCGAAATTCTTGGCAACCTCGAAGAACTTGTCGTGCTCGTCGTGGACGTAGTGGATCAGCTGGCAGCTCATGCCAGAATTGATCATGCCGTTGGCAAAGGGGATCGAGTCGTAGCGGTGCCCGTTGGAGCTCTTGTCCGAGCCGCCATACGGGGCGGAGCGCACGTAGATCTCGGCCAGCGCCATCTTGAACTTTGGCTCGGCAGGCTGCGGCAGAAGGCCGAGGTCGTCCTTCGCGATGCGCGTCAGGCACGAGATGTCCACCGGGCCCGAGGAGGAGAAGGCCGCCGGGGCCTCTGTGGCGGCTGCAGGGGCCTCCGCCGGGGCCTCCGCCGGGGCAGCCGCGGGAGCCTCCGCCGGGGCCTCCGCCGGGGCGGCAGCCTCTGCAGGGGCCTCCGCAGGAGCTGCCGGGCCGGGCGGCCCACCAAGGAGGCCGAGAGCCTTCACTCCCATCAGGTCTCCCATGCTCGTCGCCTCCGCCAAGTCCTCGGCTGCGATGTCGGTGAAGCAAGCGTTCGGCGTGTCGTCCTTGCAGTAAGCGGCTAGGCACTTGGAGATGCCCACGCAGGAGCAGTTGAACTCGCCCACGATCCACTTCTCCTGCTCCGCCGGAGTGCCCTCTTCGGACGCCAGGATGAAATCCGTGGTCCACCACAGCGGGATCGGCTCGTCGGCGAGCCCGAGGGCTGGCATCACTTGCGGTAGGTCCTTCTTCAAGAAATTCTCCGTCAAGGTCGTGAACTTCGGCTCCTCGGGCCCGTAGAACGTGTATATCGAGCCGGTTCCGCCCACAGCCGAGATGCCGCCCTCCTTCGGCTTCTTGTGGATGATTCCGACCAGCACGTCCACCACCATGTTGTAGCGCAGCTCGCCCTCCACGATCCGCGGGCAGAACCGCTGATCGACCAGCTGCCCGCCCGCCTCCTTCCCACCCTCGAGGTACTTGCCCACTCCCTTGCTCGCCCACTCCCCGGACTTCTCTGTGCGGCCGTTCACGCAGAACTCGATGAACTCACCCACCGTGTGCTCCTCCGCGTGGTTGTCGTTGGCCTCCATCATTTCGAGCACCTCGTCGTCGGCGCAAGAGCGCTCCCCGTATGTGCTGCAGTAGCTGCCCGACTTCAGCTTGATGATCCAGATGCCCTCGCCCGAGGAACCACGGTTCTGCTTGATCACGCGGGGCTGGAAGGCCATCGTCTTCTTGAAGCCCTCGGCAAACGACTCCTCGCTGTAGTACGCCAGGGTGTCCTCCAGGCCGATGTTCATAGTCGCCACCTTGCACAGCGCGTCCTTCGCACCCATGAACTCCATCACGTCCGGCGACGGCCATACCTGCTTGCCCAGCTTGCGCAGCTCGCGCATGCCGTTGTCGTATTTTGCCTGGTCGCCGCCGTCCGCCTTGATCTGGCCCGGGTTGCAGCGCACGATGATGGCGTCGAAATTCTTGGCAACCTCGAAGAACTTGTCGTGCTCGTCGTGGACGTAGTGGATCAGCTGGCAGCTCATGCCAGAATTGATCATGCCGTTGGCAAAGGGGATCGAGTCGTAGCGGTGCCCGTTGGAGCTCTTGTCCGAGCCGCCATACGGGGCGGAGCGCACGTAGATCTCGGCCAGCGCCATCTTGAACTTTGGCTCGGCAGGCTGCGGCAGAAGGCCGAGGTCGTCCTTCGCGATGCGCGTCAGGCACGAGATGTCCACCGGGCCCGAGGAGGAGAAGGCCGCCGGGGCCTCTGTGGCGGCTGCAGGGGCCTCCGCCGGGGCCTCCGCCGGGGCAGCCGCGGGAGCCTCCGCCGGGGCCTCCGCCGGGGCGGCAGCCTCTGCAGGGGCCTCCGCAGGAGCTGCCGGGGCGGGCGGCCCACCAAGGAGGCCGAGAGCCTTCACTCCCATCAGGTCTCCCATGCTCGTCGCCTCCGCCAAGTCCTCGGCTGCGATGTCGGTGAAGCAAGCGTTCGGCGTGTCGTCCTTGCAGTAAGCGGCTAGGCACTTGGAGATGCCCACGCAGGAGCAGTTGAACTCGCCCACGATCCACTTCTCCTGCTCCGCCGGAGTGCCCTCTTCGGACGCCAGGATGAAATCCGTGGTCCACCACAGCGGGATCGGCTCGTCGGCGAGCCCGAGGGCTGGCATCACTTGCGGGAGGTCCTTCTTCAAGAAATTCTCCGTCAAGGTCGTGAACTTCGGCTCCTCGGGCCCGTAGAACGTGTATATCGAGCCGGTTCCGCCAAAAGCCGAGATGCCGGGCCGCCCTCCTTCGGCTTCTGTGGTGGCTACCGACCAGCACGTCCACCACCATGATAGTAGCGCTCTCGCCCTCCACGAATCCGCGGCAGAACCGCTGGTTTCGACCAGCTGCCCGCCCGCCTCCTTCCCCTCCCTCGAGGTAACTTTGCCCACTCCCTTCTCGCCCACTCCCCGTGACTTCTCTTGCGGTCCGTTCACCGCAGAACTCGATGAACTCACCCACCGTGGCTCCTCCGCGTGGTTGTCGATTGGCTCTCCATCATAGCGAGCACCCGTCGTCGGCGCAAGAGCGCTCCCCCGTATGTGTTTGGCATGCTGCCCGAAGTCAGCTTGATAGTCCAATCGGTACGGGCCCGAAGGAACCACGTTCGCTTGATCACGCGGGGCTGGAAGGCCATCCGTCTTCTTGAAGCCCTCGGCAAACGACTCCTCGCTGTAGTACGCCAGGGTGTCCTCCAGGCCGATGTTCATAGTCGCCACCTTGCACAGCGCGTCCTTCGCACCCATGAACTCCATCACGTCCGGCGACGGCCATACCTGCTTGCCCAGCTTGCGCAGCTCGCGCATGCCGTTGTCGTATTTTGCCTGGTCGCCGCCGTCCGCCTTGATCTGGCCCGGGTTGCAGCGCACGATGATGGCGTCGAAATTCTTGGCAACCTCGAAGAACTTGTCGTGCTCGTCGTGGACGTAGTGGATCAGCTGGCAGCTCATGCCAGAATTGATCATGCCGTTGGCAAAGGGGATCGAGTCGTAGCGGTGCCCGTTGGAGCTCTTGTCCGAGCCGCCATACGGGGCGGAGCGCACGTAGATCTCGGCCAGCGCCATCTTGAACTTTGGCTCGGCAGGCTGCGGCAGAAGGCCGAGGTCGTCCTTTGCGATGCGCGTCAGGCACGAGATGTCCACTGGGCCCGAGGAGGAGAAGGCCGCCGGGGCCTCTGTGGCGGCTGCAGGGGCCTCCGCCGGGGCCTCCGCCGGGGCAGCCGTGGGAGCCTCCGCCGGGGCCTCCGCCGGGGCGGCAGCCTCTGCAGGGGCCTCCGCAGGAGCTGCCGGGCCGGGCGGCCCACCAAGGAGGCCGAGAGCCTTCACTCCCATCAGGTCTCCCATGCTCGTCGCCTCCGCCAAGTCCTCGGCTGCGATGTCGGTGAAGCAAGCGTTCGGCGTGTCGTCCTTGCAGTAAGCGGCTAGGCACTTGGAGATGCCCACGCAGGAGCAGTTGAACTCGCCCACGATCCACTTCTCCTGCTCCGCCGGAGTGCCCTCTTCGGACGCCAGGATGAAATCCGTGGTCCACCACAGCGGGATCGGCTCGTCGGCGAGCCCGAGGGCTGGCATCACTTGCGGGAGGTCCTTCTTCAAGAAATTCTCCGTCAAGGTCGTGAACTTCGGCTCCTCGGGCCCGTAGAACGTGTATATCGAGCCAGTTCCGCCCACAGCCGAGATGCCGCCCTCCTTCGGCTTCTTGTGGATGATTCCGACCAGCACGTCCACCACCATGTTGTAGCGCAGCTCGCCCTCCACGATCCGCGGGCAGAACCGCTGATCGACCAGCTGCCCGCCCGCCTCCTTCCCACCCTCGAGGTACTTGCCCACTCCCTTGCTCGCCCACTCCCCGGACTTCTCCGTGCGGCCGTTCACGCAGAACTCGATGAACTCACCCACCGTGTGCTCCTCCGCGTGGTTGTCGTTGGCCTCCATCATTTCGAGCACCTCGTCGTCGGCGCAAGAGCGCTCCCCGTATGTGCTGCAGTAGCTGCCCGACTTCAGCTTGATGATCCAGATGCCCTCGCCCGAGGAACCACGGTTCTGCTTGATCACGCGGGGCTGGAAGGCCATCGTCTTCTTGAAGCCCTCGGCAAACGACTCCTCGCTGTAGTACGCCAGGGTGTCCTCCAGGCCGATGTTCATAGTCGCCACCTTGCACAGCGCGTCCTTCGCACCCATGAACTCCATCACGTCCGGCGACGGCCACACCTGCTTGCCCAGCTTGCGCAGCTCGCGCATGCCGTTGTCGTACTTTGCCTGGTCGCCGCCGTCCGCCTTGATCTGGCCCGGGTTGCAGCGCACGATGATGGCGTCGAAATTCTTGGCAACCTCGAAGAACTTGTCGTGCTCGTCGTGGACGTAGTGGATCAGCTGGCAGCTCATGCCAGAATTGATCATGCCGTTGGCAAAGGGGATCGAGTCGTAGCGGTGCCCGTTGGAGCTCTTGTCCGAGCCGCCATACGGGGCGGAGCGCACGTAGATCTCGGCCAGCGCCATCTTGAACTTTGGCTCGGCGGGCTGCGGCAGAAGGCCGAGGTCGTCCTTCGCGATGCGCGTCAGGCACGAGATGTCCACTGGGCCCGAGGAGGAGAAGGCCGCCGGGGCCTCTGTGGCGGCTGCAGGGGCCTCCGCCGGGGCCTCCGCCGGGGCAGCCGCCGGGGCAGCCGCGGGAGCGTCTTCAGGGGCTGGAACTTCTGGGGCCGCTGCTGCTGCAGCCGCCTCTGGGTAGAGGCAGTGGGAAGATGAGAAATGAAGGGGTGAGGGCATGGGCGCGAGGCGGAGGGCTCACAATTCCCCCCCTGATCTGCTGGGGGGTGTGGACAGATTTTGGCCTCCAGGGGCCCGAAAAGCCCATACCCAGTGCCTCCCCAGGTCCAGCCTCGGACTGATGCCCCCGTCTTCCGGCTGGGGAGACTTCGTCGGCCCAACGGGCCAAAGGGGCGCTAGAGACTCCAGGTTCTACGCTGGTGTTGTATTCTCCACGCGCGCGTGGCAACCACTGGGGGTCAAGGAGGAAAAATACCCTGGATAAGTCCTGGCAGGTCCAGGCCACGGGTGCCAGATCTCCTGGGCCCGCGCTTCAGGAACCCCTGGAGCTCCCCAAGAGCTCCCCCCCGACGAAACTCCAAGAATGCTAAAGGGGACTGAGACGGTCCAAGAGCACCCCAAAACCCCCAAGATGTCCTCTTGTCGACCCCGGAAGCCTCCCAAACGCCACCACAGGGCCCCCAAAAGGACCCTCAAGAGATGTTTTGCTTGAATGGTTTCAGCGTTTTCTCTTTGGGGGATTTTCAACGCTCCAAGACTGCTCCAGAGGCCCACAAGATTGCTCCAAGACGGCCAGAGAGGCCTCCAAGAGGGCCCCAAGACGGCTCATAAAGGCCCTAGACAGCCCCAGGTCCTCCCAAGACGGCCCAAGGGGGCTCCAGGAGGGCTCCGAGAGGGGCCCAAGAAACGACAAACGAACATACATGTTTAACCCTCCGCCCAAAGACAACTCCCAGGACCGTCATCAAGCCAACAAGAAACCCCCAAGAGGCCCCAAGAGGCCGCCAATACGCCCACGAGAAGCCCCAAGAGACCCACAGGTGGCCCGAATGAGTATCCAAAGACGCCCCCAAGAGGCCCCGAAAGGCTTCCAAGAAACTTCTCTAGATGTTCTCATAAGGCCCCCAAGACAGGCCCCCAATAGCCCTCCAAGAGGCCCCCGAAAAGCAAAGCAAGAGACCCTCAAATGCATCCAAGAGGCCTCTGACCCCGTGTTCCCCTGAGCGCTGACCGATATGCCAAGCGACCGCTTTCACCAACGCGAGCCGCGAGCTTCACACGACAACTTGGGGAACTGTCCACAACCCGAGAGTTCCCCGATCCCAGCAAGCACACAGGCAAGTGACAACGATGATACAATATGGGCCCGCGTAGTGAGCGAACCGCTTGAAACCGCCGACCCCAGAGGCGTGTGCGACCCAACTGTGCACTTGCTGACCACAATACCTCCACCACGCCCAGCACACACGATCATTTCTCGCTCGAAATCAACCGACATCTTCCACCGCGCCTCCACTACGTCCCGGCACTCCCACCCCACGCGAGCTCAGCTCGTCGGATCCCCAACACGGCCATTTCTTGCCCCAACTCTATCGACACTTCCTACCGCGCTTCCACTACGCTCCGGCATCTCCACCACCTTGCCAGACCACCCCTCGGGACCTCAGTTCTTGGGCCTCCCCACCCGACAATTCCGCGCCCGGAACGAACCCTTGCCCCCACCCTGCGCCCACCACCGCCCAGACCCGACCCTGACCCCCACCTCGCCCTCCACCACGACCCGGCATCCGCACCCTCTGAGACTACTTCTCTTGGGACCCCGCATCCGACAATTTCCCGCCCGGACCCGACCTTCATCCCCACCCCGCCCTCCACCACGCCCTGGCATCCTCACCTCTGGGACCCGATCCCCGCCGTGTCTCGGGACCTCTGTTCGTAGGCCCCTTCACCTTGCAATTTCTCGCCCGGAACCCACCCCGACCCCCACCGTGTCTGACGCCCACACCTCCAGACCACCCCCTCGAGGCCTCTGTCCCTAACCCACCGTGCAATTTCTCGCCTAGCACCCACCCCGACCTCCACCGTGTCTGACGCCCCCACTCCCCAGACAACCCCCTCGGGACCTCTGTTCTTACGTCCCCCAGAAGGCCTCGGCACGAAGGCACAAATCCGAAATGTTCCATTGGTTTTGCGCCCATTTTGGCCTCTTGGTGGGGCTGGGACTGATTGAGGACCCCCCTTCTTTGATCGAACTCCTCCAAGATGGCCCCAGGATGGCCCCTAAGGCTCCCAAGAGTGCCCCAGGAGGGCCCCAGGAGGTCCCCAGGACGCCACCAAGAGGCCCCAAGAGGTCCCCAGGACGCCACCAAGAGGCTCCAAGAGGCTCCCCAGAGGCACCCAAGACGCTCCTAGAGGCCCACAGGACCGCCAAGAGGCTTCCAAAACGCTCCAAAAGGACTCCGAGAAGCTCTTCAGAGACACCGAAGAAACTCCGAGAGGCATCCAAAAGGCATCTCACCGTTCTGCTCGCCGTCCTCCTCCTCCTCCTCCTCTTTTCCCCGCTCCTCCTCCTCCTCCGACTCCTCCTCCACCTATTCCTCCTCCTCCTCCATTCGCTCTGCTCCCTCCCTCCGTCCATCCATCCTTCCCCATCCTCCTCCTCCTCCTCCTCCTCCTCCTCCTCCTCTCCTCCTTCCTCTCCTCCTCCTCCTCCTCCTCCTCCTCCCTCCTCTCTCCGACGACGACGACGACGACGACGACGACGTCCTCCTCCTCTCCTCCCTCTCCTCCTCCTCCTCCTCCTCCTCCTCCTCCTCCTCCTCCTCCTCCTCCTCCTCCTAGGGTCGCATACGGCTTCCCCAGCCCCTTATTCAACTGTATGCTCCTCCACATCCCTGACCAGGGCAACTCGCCTGAACATTGTTTCTGGATGGGCTGGTGGGGTTACGCGAGGCGTCTAGAAATGTATTCCCTTGCGAGCTTCAGAGAGCTATACACCAAGCGACATCCAAAGATATCTGGACAGCTCTCCGGAGTGCACTGACGTGAGCAGGTTTGTGGCCGGGAGCGGACATGGCCTGACACCTTCTTTATAACTGCGGGGTCCTTGCGGTGTGCAGGTGTTTGCTTCGTGATCTCTCTATTCTGGTCTCAATGCTAAGAAGCATGGGTAACAGGCAGCCGTGACAAGGTCTTGGGCTTGTGCTTTGTTATTATTAGTGTTCGCCTGCCAGCAAGCCCGCTCAGACGGCATCCCAATACGAATCGGGCTCAACCTCAGGGTGAAAATATCAGCCGTCTTGTTCGCAAAGTAATTCATCCAGTGCGCGCAAGCGATTGCTCTCCTCATGAAGCAACACTGCTTGGGCCGCCTCAAGAGTGAAGCGACCCCAAAGAAGCAACGATTCCAGCAGTGAATTGGGGTGGAACTCCATGGCACAACTTGCCGCATCCATACCTGTCATCCAGCAAGAATATTTCAGCCTGATGTCGGGATCTGCACGGCAAGCCAACAAGGCCATAGCCGCAAGGGGGTTCGCACCGTCTGGTCGCAAGGCGCAAGTATGCAACAACGAGGCATTGAATGGCGTTTGCCACTCCAGTGAGCATGGGTCTGCACCGTTCTTGACGAGGGAGATGATGGCATCTGCATCGTCAGCTATTACGGCACCATGAAGCTGCCACTGCAGTTCCAGGCTTGAAAAACACCTGCGCACCGCAGCGCCCTCGAACATTGGAACTTCTTTCAGTATGACTCCTCTTGTCTTGTGGTACAACAGATGCTCAACTCGCTGGGCGGCTGGACTGATCACCAAAGCCTCCTCTTCCTCAGGATGCCCGCCCTCAGAGACTGCCACGACGACAAGCATGTGTCCCATGTAGATTTCTGGTTGCAGGGCATCCAACGGCCGCAGAGGAGAGAAGCCGCACAGGATGCCCTTCGGATCCTGTGTTGGCGCGCCACCTTGGGGTCTGCCCTTAGGAAGCCCTTTGGATCCAGTGTTTGGATCCTGTTGTCCATCACAGACACGATACAGAGCCCGAAGCCAACATGGGAAACGACAGCGCAACCGTTTCTGGCAGACTTCAATGGCCTCGTGCGAAGCTGCAGGCCGAGGCTGTGCAAGAGGCCTGCGAAGTTGGCCTAGGAAGGCTCTCCATACACCCTCCTCCTGCTGGGTCAATATCTCAGCTGCGGTGGTGCCCAAATCGCGTGATTGACGAGAGAGCTGCGATACTCTTCCAAGTATCTGCTCGTCAAGCCATCTGGAGCTAGCGAGTTGTATGAGCAAGTGCTCGTCGAACAGCATCGGCAAAGAGGTGCCTGTATCTCCTCACAGCGGCACTTCGAAACAGCGCAATCGCATTGCACGAGCCATTAGTTAACATGCCTTGCACCAACATGGCTTGAGCCAAACTGGCTACGGACGGACATGGCCTGTCACCTGTTGCAAAAGGAAAAAAGCCCACGGACCGAATCATCATGATCAAGATGACGGGGCCGACGCCATCTCGACGACAGCATCGGCGAACCCGCACGGGCACACGAGCCACTTGGCTCCAAGCAAAACAGCTGGCACCACGGCAGGAAAGCTGAGATGATGACAGCAGCAGACAGAAACCCATAGAGACAGAAACGAGGAGCAGACAGAAACCCATTGAGATGAGCACGCCTCCAGGAGTAGCAGACAGAAACCCATCGACAAAAGTCTGTGGCAGGAGCGAGGCTGGCCGCGCAGCTGTCACCGGAAAAAAACTTTTGAGGGCGCTCGAGGAAGTATCTGAGGAAGGCCGAGAGTCCTCCTTCTCCTCCTCATCCTCCTGCGCCTCCTCCTCTTCCTCCTCCTCCTCCTCCTGGTGGAGAAGCCTGGTGGAACATACGAAGCAAGCTGTTGCGGTTCCTCGGCGAGACCCTAATGGACAAGCCCATCTCAGAAGTAGCCAAGCACCTCAATAAGAGCCTCTCCTTGCTGCGACGGCGCAGCTGCGAGGGAATGAAGGCCTACGCTTAGCGGAGCCGGATCGTAGCCAGCAAGCTGGACCAAGGTCTCAGTCGGTTCGAAGAGAAGGACACCTGCAGCCACATCAAGCTAGAAAAGAAGTCCTGCCCCGAGGAGATCGCAGAGACACCTCACGAGGAAATCGACCTGATCGAGGAGGGCGGCGAGAACGACGCAGCGCGCAGCTGGCATGATCTGACGAACGCTGAAGTGATACGGCAGCTGTCGGAGCGGTTGGCCAGGCGCTCAAGAAGAAGTCGAAATGGGACCGAACGCAGAAATCGATGCTAGAGTCTCCCAAGAAGGTACCGTCTGGATCATTGCGTTCAGCAAAATACTCTGGAAATCTACGGAACACAACGGCAGCACTTCGGGATGAGTGGACCGACATAGGCTTGAAGGAGCATGATGCCCCTAACAATAAGAGAGGAACCTTCCTGCATAAGCCAAGGCATGACCGAGCTCTAGTCATATTCGACGAGAAGGCCGACGAGGAGGTCGAGAACCAACACTGGCACGACGATGACGACCAGGAGGCCTAGTTCGGAGAGATCGGAGAAGATGCCGATGAGCTGAAACTGCAAGGCCTCTGCAGAGATGCGCGTCGCAAGCTGAGGAAGCTCTTGATCGCAGGTGCAAAAACGGACATCCAGACCCAGGCGCGCGCCCTGGCGCAGGCACGTGCAGTCGTGAAGGAAAATTAGAGTCGTGATTTCTATCAGACAGGGAAGGCCAGTGGCAAGGGCAAACCTCCATGGAAATGACAAGACGGCCAATGCTTCATCTGCGGCGACCCCCGCAGGAATGTTAATTGTCCAAAGGGTTGCGGGCGCGACCGTGGACCAGGATCAAACAGCAACGTCCAGGCAGTTGGCGCCATGGCGTTCAACCTCGGAGCGTGTGCCAAAACGGGCGAGGTTGGCCATCCCGAGAGGCTCGCGTACGTCGAGCTGTTCTCGACCTCCGCGGGGACCGTGGAGCATGCGCTGGCCGGACTCGAGGGAAGAGACAGCAGGGTGCATGGCACAGGCGGTCCGACGAAGACGCTCGGCTCGACCAAGGCCCTGGAAAGGATCACCAGGAAGCAGACAGCAGCTGGAATCGGCACGAGCCACGTGGCAGTCGACGTGGCAGATCGGCCGAGCCACGGCTTCGACAGCGGACACGCCGAGCGATGCGCATGCAAGTTAGCGCTGCCACGGCAAGCGGGCGGACAGCTCGGGACGGCGGCCGGGCTTCGCGCCGGACACGAAGGACGACCGCTGCGTGCCATTGCTGTGATCAGTGGGCTTGCTGAGGCGCTCGGGTGCCATCACAAAGTTTGCTACTGACGTCGCCTGCTTCGCCAAGATCGCTAAAGACCAGCTCGTGAAGCTCAGGCCGACCACGACCAACCACCTATGAATAGACGTGACGAGAAGCATGTTCGGGATGAAAATGGCAGGGCAGGACAAGCAGGACTCTCGGCAGAAGATCGAGATCCTGAACCACGCGTTCATCGTGGTGGGAGCCGCGAAGGCCAGACGACTGGCCGCCGCTGACTAGGGTCATCGCCCCTCCTTCTACGGTTCTGCGGTGATGGTGGACAGAAAAAAAGCCATCATCACGTCACTGGATGCGCCTATCCGTATTATCCATGAAAGCGAGGAGGAGAGCAAGAGGAACGGGACAAAAACATAGGGGAACAGAGAACGCGCTGGCCGTGGGAATAGTTGCCAACGCCAAGGCGATCAGGGATACGACGAGATCGAATGCACGACGAGTCCGACACGACCGACAGCTCGATCGAGGAACTCGAGCACCGCGATTCGATTTCAGAGGACGCCTACAGCACGAGCGAGCTTGACTCGAACGATGGGGGTTATCGATCAGTCGTCAGAGATGTTACGAGGAAAACGGCAAAGAGTCAACGAGAGGGGAAAGACGGAGGATTTTTGGATAGCGCATCTGATTCGATCGCTGGTTGGTCAGGAGAAGGACGGCACTCAAGCAGGCAGAACATCATACTGCAGGGAGGAAATCCACGCATGGGCGCTAGGATGCATTGTTCACGGCTGGGCCTGACGATGCCAGGGGAGGGAGGGAGGGCAAGGGAGAGGAGGGGGGCAAGGGAGAGGAGGGGGCCCCGGGAAGGGGGAATGGGGGGGCCGGGGAGGGGGCGGGGAGGGGAAGAGCGGGGCGGGGGCGAGCAGAGGGAGGCGCGGCGCGCCACCTCCGCGGGCGCCTCCGCGGGCGCCTTCTTGGGCGTCTTGGTGTCCTGGGCGGGGGGGGCGGGGGGGGCAGGCAGAGAGCGCGCTCCTCGCTCCCTCCCTCCCTCCTCCGCCGCGGAGCAGCACGGAGCCGGCGGCGGAACGCGACAGTGCTCGGCCCCTCGTGGCGATCAGTGGATCGCGGAGGACTCGTGGCGGGCCCGAGTGTGCTGAGCGAGAGGCGCAGGGTCCAGAAGGCTTTTTCATTCCGCGACGAAGCGCACCTATCAGCCAGCCTCGCACATCTCACCCGTCAGCTCGCGCTGCGAATCCAATCGCACTGCCACTGGAATCGTCAGGCTCAGCCAGATCGAGGAGGAAGCAGGAGAAGGAGGAGGCGGAGGAGGCGGAGAAGAAGGAACGAGGAGGAGAGAAGACATTGGGCGCTGTGCAGATATCCCCAGAGGCCCAAACGGCCACTTATATAATGCAGAAAATTCACTACGGCATCCCAGAGAGGGAGAGAGGGCAGGAGGAGGAGAGGAAGAGAAACTCAGATACGCAAGCCCTGGCATCGTATCATCAAGAGTCGTGCCTTGCCAAACGGAGGAAACAAATCGCACCACGATGCGAGGAGTGGGCCGACCCCAAGACCCGACCGACCACCACCACACTTAGACCTCACATCCCGGCAACCAAGGAAACAAATAGCACTGTGCAGAATGAAGACGGCGCAAAGTCGCAGATGACAAGAAATGCTCCCGTACTCTTGCCGCGCAAGACGGGGAAGCAGAACGAAAACGAAGGAAAAAGAGGTGGCAAAGCGAGAAGAAAGAGCGCGGTGACGGTCGCAGAGAACCTGAACGCCGGAGCAGAGGCACCAAACCCTGAGGATCAGCAGAGCGCAACAGGCAAGAACAAATTGCCAAGTCGCGAAGAGCACGTCCACGGGAAGGTGGCGCACCAGGCCCACCGCCTCCCCAACGATGGGGCCGAGGGCCGACGGCACGCAAGACACCGAGGAGCGAAGCGCCTGGCAGGCGAGCTGAGCCTGGCGGGACACCAGCGCCATGGACCACCTACTCGCCGGTCGACGAGGAGGCCGACGTCCGGAGGGCGTGACAAAGCCTCAAGCGGGGAAGGTCACGCACAAAACAGGGACATGCAGCATGCACGCGCAAGCAGCTTCAAACAGTGAAAACACAGATACGACAAGCAAGACGGGAGCAGGAGGAGGGGGGAAAGGAGGAGGGAATACAATCCCACCAGCCCTCTGGGCGTCGGTGGTTTAGAGCGTTTCCTCTTCCACCCCTCCTTCTTCCCCTTCGGGGAGGGGTTTACCCCTCCCCCTACCCCCTCCCCACTGACCTGGACAGGAGGGGCGGGGAGCGGTCAGAGCGTCCAAAACGGCCTCGGCGAGGAAGCCAAAATCATTGATTTTAGTATGGTTTGGGCCCCATTTCGGCCTTCTGAGGGGGCAACGCTAATTAAGGCTCCCCTCTTCTTTGATCGATTTCCTCCACGATGGCCGCAAGAGGCCCCAGGATGCCCCAAGAGGCCGCAGGATGGCCCCAAGATGGCCCCAAGAGGCCCCCCAAGAGGCCCCCAGGAGGCCCCCAAGAGACCCCCAAGAGGCCCCAAGAGACCCCCCAGAGGCACCCAAGGTGCTCCCAGAGGCCCCAAGATGGCCCCAAGAGGCCCCAAGAGGCCCCCAGGAGGCCCCAAAGAGGATCCCGAACGGCCCACAGAGGCCCCCCCGAGGCACCCAAGACGCCGGAAAGCCCCTCAGGACGACCCTCTACTCGCCTGGGCGTCGTTTCTGGACGGGCTGGTGGGGATACGCGAAGCGTCTAGAATTTTACACTCTCGCCGAGCGCCCCGGTTTAAAAGGCCCATGCGCTCTGGAACAGAAACGCGGCACGACGCTTTGACGAGGGATGGGGGGGGAAGCGAGAACGGCGCGACGAACGACGACCACGACGAGGAGGGAGGGGTTGGCGAACACTCGCCTACTCGCGGCGCCTGGCGGCGGGGACGTCGCCCGCGAAGGCCGCGGGGCCGCCCCTCCGCCCGACGAGGGCGCGGAGCCACACGCACGCGGAATGACAGAAGGGAAAAGGAGCAGCGCGCTCGCTAAGAGGGGGCGGGCGGAGGAGACGGTCAGCTGGCACGCCAGGCGCACCCTTCCAGGGGGACATTCTGCAAAGCGACGGGGCGCACCTGGAAACTCACAGGCAAGGCTCATGTAGCGAAGTGACCGAACGCATCATGTTATTAACGGAGGAGGAGGACGACGACGAGGACGAGGACGAGGACGAGGACACACGACCATTGCGCCTCCCAGATGAGCCGAAGCTCGACTGGGAGTCCAGCTCGGGGAAGCCAGCCAACAGCCTAAAGGGCAAGGCTGGAGGGGAAAATTCGTCCATGGGTTCCTTGACACATCCTTGTTGGTACTGTCAGCGTTAAGGCAGGAGCACCACGACTAGAAGGACCTCAAGGTGCCTGCGCAAGGGCGAGAGCACGATTCTCGATCAGGAATAGATCCAGCACTGAAGTCAGGGCGCGATTGATTTTGGTCTCCCGATGGAGGCCCGCGCCAACGACGAGGCGCGATTCTGGAATATGAACGCGGCCAACACTGAGAACATAGCATTGGTCTGCTGGCTTTCCCAAGGCTGGCAGAGACAAGGAAGGCGAGAGCACTATTCGGGACCACGAATGCGGACAGCGCCGAGGCGAGGGCAGTTTGTTGCACCCGTCGCCGGCGCCTGCGCGAGAGCACAATTCTGGACTTGCATGGGGCTGGCCTCGAGACGAAGGCACTACTTGGGCGCCCGAGTTATCCGGGATAACTCGGGCCAGGGGTAACTCGGGCTTGGATTCCCGTAAAAACGAACCCGAGTTAGCCCTGACCCGAGTTACCCCTGATGATTTGGGGCTCTGGACGCCCGAGTTATCCAGGGTAACTCGGGCCAGAGGTAACTCGGGCTCGGATTCCCGCAAAAACGAACCCGAGTTAGCCCTGACCCGAGTTACCCCTGATGATTCGGGGCTCTGAATTACTCTGTATCCCCAGAGCGGCCGGCACCCGCGCGAGGGCGCGGTTCGGGACTACGGAGTGCAGATGGCGTTCGGCGCCGAACGGTGAGTGCGACTTTGAATCTCAAGCTCGGGATTGTGGTGCTGCATCGCGAGCGCGGCAAGCGCTGGAACGGAAGCGCAATTTTGTGTCACCCAGGTGGCACGCGTCAAGATGAGATAGCGATTCCGAATCACGAGCTCGGCTGGCGCTAAGATGAGAGCACAATTCTAGGATCCCTGGCGCATCAGGCACCAAGTCGATGGCACTGTTGACGGGTGCGTAACGCGGCCAGACCCAAAACGAAAGAACGACTACGGCTCACGTGTGGCTAGCGCCGAGGCGAGGGCAACGGTCTTTCCACAGACTCTGTCCCAAGCTCTTAGAGCATGAGTCGTGGCCCACAATGTGACATGCTCTAAAACGGAAGCGCGATATGTGGTTCGATTTGAAGCCAGACTAATTATGATGGCTTGTTCTCTGCTCGCGATGCCGTGGCGGCGGCAAACTTCGACATAGCTGCGTCTGTAAGCCCATCTCAAGCGTCAATTCTACACGTCGAACAAGCTATCTTCATGGCTCGCTGTACTCGAGCATGTTTCCTGTATGTGACAAGTCATACTCCTCTAATAGCCCAAGCTAGAGCCACGACTCAACGATCATCCTCTGGCTTGCTGCCAAGCTCTTGCCTAACATCTTTGCACATAAGGCTGCCAGTCTTGCCGTCGAAAGCGACGATAGATGGCACGCTGCTGAGGCCGTACTCTTCTTTGAGTGTACCAACGGTCTTGTCCGATTCCTCGCGAGTCTTCCTCTGGACAAGCCCTACGGGAGCGGCGCGATTGCCTTGCGAGATATGATATGACATTGCTGGCCACGACTTGCCCCGAGTAGCTGCATCGAATGCCGCTGAGTCCGCGCCCACCGAGATCCCGGATTCGTTCGGATCGCTCGCCTTCACCTTGTACAAGTCCTCCAGCATCGGCCGAAGGCTCTGCAACAAGGCTTCTTATAAGCCAAGACAGTGCCGGTGGGTTTGTCGTCCTCTAATGTCTTCAGCGTTGAGCCAGGGACAGCAGCCTGGTCAACACCGGCGCTATCCGTGGCCTCTAGCCACGACGCCAGTGCCGATGGCTTCCAGGCACAGCCATCCTCGGGATTGTCGCCAAGCTCCTGCCTAACATCTTTGGAAATTCGCCGGCCCAACGGGCTAGAGGCGTGCTAAGATCTCCGGTAACTGCTAAATAATACTTCTACTTCGCGCGCGCGGGGTGGCCCCTGGGGGTCCCCAGACGAAAAGTACCCCGGGCGATCCCCGGCAGACTCGGGTCAGAGATGGTTTTCCTCCTGGGCGCCGCCCCCGTGGCCCTCCAGAGAGCCCCAAGAAGGGCCACGAGGCCGCCAAGAGCCCTCCAAGATGGTTCAAGAGTGCTCCGAGATGCCACACGATCGTTCCAAAACGCCCAAGATGGCCCCCAGACGCCCCAAGAGGCCTCCAAGAGCACTCCCCAGAGGGCCCCAAGAGGCAAAATGCATTACTTTTCCTTAGGTTCTGGGCAGATTTTGGCGTGTCCATCGTTTCGGCTTCCCGACGCCCCAAGACGGCCCAAGAGGCCCCCAAGATCGCCCCAAGAGGGCCCAAGAAGCTCCCAAGAAGGCCCCAAGATGGCCCAAGAGGGCTCCAAGACGGCCCCAGAGGCATCCAAGACGGCCCAAGAGGGGCCCAAGAGGGCCCCAAGTGATGCCCCAAAGGGGGAACACAAAACAAAATTTCGAGCCCTCGGCCTTAAGAAGCCCCCAGGAGGCCTCAAGAGGTCCCTGAGAGGCCCCAAAAGCCTCCAAGAGGCCCTCAGGAGGCCCCCAAGCGACGCTGAAGAGGCCCCCCAGCGGCCCCAAGAGGCTCAGTCATGCGAAATGGGCCGGCGGAATGAGCGAAGCGATTCAATAATGTTGCCAGTCTTGCCGTCGAGAGCAACGATAGATGGCAAGCTGCTGAGGGAGTACTTCGCTGGGAGTGTACCCATGGGCTTACCCGATTCCTCGCGAATCTTCCTCTGGACAAGCCCGACGGGAGCGGTGCCATTGCCTTGCGAGATATCATATGGCATTGCCGGCCACGGCTTGCCCCGAGTAGCCTCATCGAATGCCGCTGAGTCTGCGTCGACCGAGACGTACACGATCTCGGTGTCGTTCGGATCGCTCGCCTTCACCTTCTTGTACATGTCCTCCAGCATCGGCTCGAAGGCTCTGCACCAAGGGCACTACGAGCCAGAGAACACCAAAGCCACGTGCAAATTATTAGCCAATACATTGCCGGTTGGTTTGTCGCCCTCCGGTGTCTTCAGCGTTGAGCCAAGGACAGCAGCCCAGTCAACGCCGGCGCTTGCACCGCCCCAACTGTCGAAAACGGCCTTCGTTGTCACCTTCCCATTGTCGAAATAATGTGTCATGTCTTTTGTTTGCCAGCTCCTGGGAAGCCAACGCTTTAGCAAGAGCGGCTTGAGCCAAATTGGCGATGGAAGCGAGAATGTGATTCTTGGTCCCTCGAGTGGACTGCGCTAGAGTGTGGCCAGCGCTGAAGCTACAACCTTGACGTGACAAAACGTCAAAGGTTGGTCGGCGCCGAGGCGCGGCCTGCACGAAGGCGAGAGTACAACTCTGAATGAAGAGCTTTGGCCAGCGCTGAGGCTGGAGCCCGGTTCTGGGCCCAAAGAACGGCCAACGCAAACCTCGACGGCAGCTTCCGATGAAAAGCGTTCGATGAAAAGCGTGGCCAGCGCTTACACGAGATCGCGACTCTGTCCTCAACATAGCCTGCGCCAAAAAAACTATACATGCTGGGCCACCGAGGTGGCTGACGCTGAGGCGCCCCTATACTTCTGAGTCCCAAGCGAGGCCTGGCGCCAATTCCGCGGCTCTAGATAACGAGTGTGCCCCGCGCTGACGCGATGACACGGTTCTGGAGATGCTGGCGTCGGCTGGGCTGGGCGGAGGACCAGGACAATGTGCAGTAGGATCGCACCGTAAGCCCCTGTGTTTCCACCGCTTGAGCAGCCACTGCAGCGAAATGCCATTAAACATACTACTCGGTGGTAGGGCAAAACCTTTCCGAGAAACCCTGAGCTTCCATGACAGAAACAGCCCACCCGGTGTTGCTCGTAGGAAGCATGTAAAGCCAGCGTGCTGGTGGTGAGTCTGAGCAACGGTTGGCGACTGTGGGACTCTCTCGTCTCTACTCCTTACTCTCTCCACCCAGTACGACTCACCCTTGCTACATGTGATATATGCCATCCACCCTCTACTCTCAACCCTAAACCCTCTAGTGTCGCATATCTCCTATATGCTCTCAGCAATCTGCTCTATACTCTCGATTACCTACTCCCTATCCTCTACTCTCCACTATATTTGTACTCTCGAGGCCCCAAGAACCTGGCCACAATCAGGAATTCAGGAACCAGAAATCTGGGAACCGGGAGCCCAAGAACCAGACCGGATACCAACATCTGCGGCCCACTCTCACCAAACACTTACAATACCCGCGAGGACCCCTTCTCTGCAAACACTGATGGGCGAAGAGGCAACTTTAACCGAAACCATCCACACTCAATTCACAATAACTCCAGAAGCCATCATGGCTCAATCGGGGAACAGATACACAAGCTCGATCCGTAGATAAGGATGCCACCCGAGCGTGATAATACATGACAGCCCATGTCATGTAAAGCCTAATCGTTGAAAGATGTTCTTCGGAAATTGAAGCTGTGTGGCACGATGCGGCCGCTATCTTCCCACAGCTCTGACGCCAATCTGGATGACAACGATGTGCTGGGGGTCAGCTCTAAGGTCGCTGTTTTACAAGCCAGACTGCACCACGTCAAGATGAAACTTGAGCTGGTAGAAAACCACCCACACTGTCATCTTCGAAATAGCTTCGTCGAATGAGCACACCATCGGGCCCGGGGCCCCCTTCACTTCTCCTGTAATGCCGAAGCTGGGTGCCGCACTGGATGAGAGGCTGCAGGACGGTCCGTGGGCCCATAGCCGCTCATGAAGTGCTTGGCCATGTAGGCGAACGGGTCCGCGGGCTTCTCCTTCGCGGGAGGGAACGGGCCAAGCGAGCAGAAGCACACGCAGACGCACACTCGGAGGGGGTCCGCATGCCAAGCACTAGCGCAAGGCATGGCCTGAGCAGAAACGTGATCTGCAGAATCATTGAGAAACACCAGCCCTTTAGGGCGTGGTGGTTTAGCGAGCTCAAACTTCCAACTTCCCTCCCCGTCGAGGAAGTGTTTTATAAATAAAAGCACATCCCCTCCCAAACTCAACAGGCGACCGAGCAAGTACAAAACCCCCCCAATCATCCCAGTCAAAGAATCCTACGACGTGAACCTTGCGACAACATCTAAATCTTGGTGCTTGTTGACAGGGACAGCGGGGGGCGGGCATTATACTGCCGGCTGCGTGCAGGCCCATCATCCCTGTCAGAAACGAATGCGAAGTGATGACGGGCGCACACAGAAACAAAATACGATGTTGGCAAACACTCCGTCACATCGCTTTGTTCTTTGACAGGGGCGGAAGGGCTCGACATATTTCCCGATGCTTGCTGTGACGGTACGCTAGCCGTGCGCTAACGCGCCTGGCGCAGCAAGCGCGCGACGCGCAGTGGCACACCAAGCGCGCCTGGCACGCTTGGGCCCAGCGGGCACCCGGCGCACCTGGTGCGCGTGGCGCACCTGGCACGCGCGGAGCACCTCGCGAGCACCGCGCACCAGGCTGGCGTCTGCATTGGTTTCCAGTGGTTGTCTACGGCGGTCTGCGCCTGTCTTGAGACTCGGGTACGAACGAGCTGGGAAGTGGGAAGCGGGTGGGAGTGAGCGAGACGGCTTGCGGCATTCCCGCTGGAAACTTGAGCACCGTTCCTTTTAAGATACACCCCCTCCCCAGTTCGACCGGCCGCCGACCCGAAATCATGCCGACCCCGACGCATCACCCATGTCAAAGAACAATACAGAGTGCACGTTGCGGCAACATCTGGATCATGCTCGGGCGCCCCACGATCACTCCATGTGGCTTTTTCTGAACGAGCCTGTGGTGTCGGGTCGCCGCTTTGCAGAGACAGCGCCCCGCAGCGTCAGTCCTCCCTTACTCCTCCCCGTGCCCGCTGCTCGCATCACTGCCCCTGCCCTCCGCGTGGCACTCTCGGCACACCACTCATCAGTTTCGTGGCCCCACGAGGGGGCTCCCGCTCGGGCTCTAAAGATAGCACGGGGACGCCGCCCCATCTCGGCACATCCCTCACACGCTTCGTGGCCCCATCAGGAGCTCCAATTAAGGCCCAAAGGCCAAAGTTCGCATGGCGGCGGCGCCGCCTCACTTCGGCCAGCCCTTCAGACGCGTCGCGGCCCCAAAGGCAGATCCAGCTCCAACTAAGGCCAAAATGCCAGGGTCCGCATGGCGGCGCCATCTCATCTCGGCAAACCCCTCACACGCTTCGTGCCCCCATAGGGACCTGCAACGAAAGATCAAATGCCAAAGGCCGCATGGCGTCACCGCCTCATGTCGGCTAACCCCTCACACGCTTCGTGGCCCCGTAGGGTGTCCGAACTAAAGCCAAAATGCGAAGGTCCGCATGGCGTCGCCGCTTGATGTCGGCAAACCCCTCACACGCGTTGTGGCCCCATAGGGAGCTAAAAGAGGCCCACATGCCCGGGTCCGCATGGCGCCTGCTTCATTTTGACACACCCCTCCCACGCTTCGTGGCCCCATGGGGAGCCCAAACTAAGGCCCAAATGCCAGGATCCGCATGGCGTCGCCGCTTTGGCACACCACTCACACGTTTTGCGGCCCCATAGAAAGCTCCAACTAAGGCCCACATGCCCGGGTCCGCATGGCGTCGCTGCCTCATGTCGGCACACCCCTCACACGCTTCGTGGCCCCGTAGGGAACTTCAACGGGCCCAAATGCCAGGGTCCGCATGGCGTCGCCGCCTCAGTTCGACACACCCCTCCCACGCTTCGTGGCCCCATAGGGATCTGCAGCGAAAAGCCCTAATGTCAAAGGCCGCATTGTGGCGGCGCGTAATTTCGGCACACCCCTCACACGCTTCGTGGCCCCATAGGGAGCCCCAACCAAGGCCCGAAGGCCAAAGTCTATATGGTGGCGCCCCCACATGTCGGCACGCCCCTCACACGCTTCATGGCCCCAAAGGAAGGCTCGCGGCCCAACAGGGAGCTCCACCGAGCGCCCCAGCGGCAGGACTCGCATGGCGTACTCGCTCTCATTCGGGCACGACCCTCGCGCGCTTCGCGCCCCCATGGGGTCTCCACCCAGGGCCCTAGTATATCAGGGTCCGCATGGCGCATCCACCCCAAATTCGGCATACCCTTCACGCACTTCGTGGCCCCATTAAGAGAGCTCGCCGAAGTCCCCAGCGGCGGTGTTCTTATGGCGCCGCCTCGCCAAGATATGCGCGCCAGTCCGTCATTTCGCTCGTCTCCCTCTTTCTCGCTAGCCTCGCGGTACTCGCAGCTTCATATGCGTGGGCCCTTCCCCATGACAACTTTCTGACAGGGACGGCGGGGGTGCCATCAGATTGCCCGCTGCGCGTAAGTGTTTTTTGGGGGGGCCACCTTCGCCCGAGCCACTGTTCACCGCAGCCCTCTGGCCTCGCCGCTGTTCTGTCTCGGCTACCCGGGCTCTGACAGCAGCTAGGCGCTCGAGTGGGGCTGCCTGCGCAGACAGCTGCCGCTGCCTCGAGGCTGTGGCATATGCGCGCATTTCGGGGCCAGAAACTGGCGACTCGGGCGCCGCGCAGGAGAATTACACATCACGCTGGGTGCAAGCCTCGCTCGAGCCGAGCCTGGACAAGGCGTTCGCACCACCACTATGCTCGGCAGGTTGGCATGGCTCCGCCAACATGCAGATCTTCTCCTGCGTGTGACGGTAACTACCGCATACCTTCGTGGCCTACCTGCGTGCTCGTCAGCTTATGCCCGTGGCTCGGGGCATGGGCTAGGAGCTTGGCTAAACGCCTGGGAAGACCTTGACAGCCGACTTCTGGTCCGTCCTTCAGGGCCCCATCCATCAAAGGTGAAATATCCACTACAGCCCCACAACCAGCAAAATTCCCAGACGCGGCATCCAATCGCTTCCGCAATAGTCTTACGCGGACGCTCACGCCTCGGTGGGCGCTGATGCTGCACCCTCCAGAAACCCGGCCCGCTGCACGTAGGCCAACCATACCTGTCACACGTTATCAAGGCGATGGACCCAACCGTATACAGGCGTAAGTACTGCAAGACAGGTGGGACGAAGGACGGAAATTTCACATCGGGCCAAGACGCGTATGAGGTGTGTGCCGATAAATAGGAGCTGCCGCCATGAGGGCGCTGGCACTGGCGCCGTTGGTGGAGCTCCCTATGGCTCATGGGGTCACGATACGTGGGAGGGGTCTGCCGAAATCAAGCGCCGACGCCATGCGGACCCTGGCATTTGCGCCTTCGGTGGAGCTCCCTATGGGGTCCGGACACGTGTGAATGTTGTGCCGATCTCGGTGCCGCGACGCCTTGGAAACCGTGCCGCTGGGGTGTTCACTGGAGCACCCTCGACACGTGTGACGGGTGTGCCCACATGAGGCGGCGACGCCATGCGGACCTGGGCATGTGGGCCCTAGCTGGAGCTCCCTGTAGGGCCGCAAAACGTGTGAGGGGTGTGCCGAGATGAGGCGGCGACGCCGTGCGGACCCTGGCATGTGGGCCTTAGCTGAAGCCCCCCTATGGGGCCACGAAACGCGGGAGGTGAGTGCCGGAATGAGGCGGCGACGCCATTCGGACCCTGGCATGTGGGCCTTAGCTGGAGCTCCCTATGGGGCCCCGGCACGTGAGGGTGTGCCGAAATGAGGCGGCGACGCCATTCGGACTCTGGCATGTGGGCCTCAGCTGGAGCTCTCTATGGGGCCGCAAAACGTGTGAGTGGTGTGCCGAAACGAAGCGGCGACGCCATGCGGACCCTGGCATTTGGGCATGTTTGATCTCCCTATTGGGGCCACGAAACGTGAGGTGCGTGCCGAAATGAAGCGGCGACGCCATGCGGACCCTGGCATGTGGGCTTTAGTCGGAGCTCCCTATTGGGGCCACGAAGCGTGTAAAGCGGCGACGCCATGCGGACCCAGGCATGTGGGCTTTAGTCGGAGCTCCCTATTGGGGCCACGAAGCGAGTGAGGGGTGAGCAGACGTGTAGTGGCCACGCCGTGCGGGAGATTTGGGCCTGACTTGGAGCTGCTCAGGGGGCCACGAAAGATCCCCCACCGTGCCTCTGTGCACGGAGTGGGCGTGTCCTCGTGCCCCGGGGTGCAATCCTCGAAGCCTCAAGCCTCACTCCTGCCGGGGCTCGGAATTCCGAAATTCGGCGGGGCGGGGCGCGTGCCCACTGGGGCGTGGCGCGTGCCCGCTGGGCTCCGGGAAGCGCTCCCGCCAAGGGGGGCCTCAGAGACGGGCCAGGAGCGCGCCGAGCGGTCTCCAAGACGGCCCAGGAAGGCCCCGAGGCGCCCAAAGATCGGCCAAGACGCCTAACGGCCCCAGAAGCCTCCAATCCGCCCTAAGAGGCCTCGAAGAGGCCTTCCAAGAAGGCCCCAAGAGGTCAAAATAATTGAGGTTCCCTAGGTTTTTGTAACATGTTGTCATCCTCTCCTTTTCGGCTCGGCGAGGGGGCAGACAAATTTTAACTGCGTGCGTGGCAAGTCTTCCTTCATGCTGAGAACCGATGTCGGGACAGCTCTTTGGAGCGCCACTCCAAAAAGACAAGCATAATGATGAATGAGATCTAATGATAATGCCAAAGCCGTCACGAAAACTATTATGGGTGCCGCAGGTGCGCTGTCGACTACAACCGGGACGAGGTCGGCAGCCTGTCTAGCGAACCGACCGTGCACTCCTGAACCTAGGCAGAAAAAGACCCTTAAACCGCTGTTCAGCACCTCAAGGTCGGCTATATTTGTTTGTTCCTTTTCAGCGTGTCGTAGCAAAACACTTCTGTAGTTGATCATCCCGGGTCGTGGCCCGTGGCATGTCAGTCTTCGATATCCCCCCAA